CACTGATGTTGTTGTGGCATCAGGGCTAGATGTGGTTGTAGCATCTTGCCCTGATGCAGTGGTGACATCTGGGCCTGATGTGGTTGTGGCATCAGGGTCAGATGTGGTTGTGGTGTCTGGGCTAGATGTGGTTGTAGCATCTGGCCCTGATGTGGTTGTGGCATCTGTGCCTGATGTAGTGGTGACATCTGGGCCTGATGTGGTTGTGGCCTCAGGGCTAGATGTGGTGTCTGGCCCTGATGTGGTTGTGGCATCTGGCCCTGATGTGGTTGTGGCATCTGGATTTGATGTGGTGGTGTCTGGGCCCAATGTGGTTGTGGCATCAGGGCTAGATGCGGTTGTGGCATCTGGCCCTGATGTGGTGGTAGCATCTGTGCCTGATGTAGTGGCGACATCTGGGCTTGATGTGGTTGTGGCATCAGGGCTAGATGTGGTGGTGTCTGGGCCTGATGTTGTGGTGGCATCAGGGCTAGATGTGGTTGTAGTGTCTGGGCTAGATGTGGTTGTGGCATCAGGACTAGATGTGGTTGTGATATCTGTGCCTGATGTAGTGGTGACATCTAGGCCTGATGTGGTTGTGGCATCAGGGGTAGATGTGGTGGTAGCATCTGTGCTTGATGTGGTGGAGGCATCTGTGCTTGATGTGGGGGAGGCATCTGTGCTTGATGTTGTGGAGGCATCTGTGCTTGATGTGGTGGTGGGGTCTTGGCTTGGTGTGGTGGTGGCATCAGTACTTGATGTAGTGGTTTGGTCTTGGCTTGATGTGGTGGTGGGGTCCTGGTTTGATGTGGTGGTAGCATCTGTGCTTGATGTAGTGGAGGCATCTGTGCTTGATGCGGTGGAGGCATCTGTGCTTGATGTGGTGGAGGCATCTGTGCTGGATGTTGTGGAGGCATCTGTGCTGGATGTTGTGGAGGCATCTGTGCTTGATGTGGTCATGGGGTCTTGGGTTAATGTGGTGATAGCATCTGTGCTTGATGTGGTGGTGGTGTCTTGGGTTGATGTGGTGGTGGGGTCTAGGCTTGATGTGGTGGTAAGGTCTTGGCTTGATATGGTGGTGGGGTCTTGGCTTGAAGTGGTGGTAGCATCTGTGCTTGATGTAGTGGAGGCATCTGTGCTTGATGTGGTGTAGGCATCTGTGCTTGATGTTGTGGACGCATCTGTGCTTGATGTGGTGTTGGGGTCTTGGGTTGATGTGGTTGAAGCATCAGTGCTTGATGTAGTCGAGGCATTTGTACTTGATGTGGTGGTGGGGTCTAGGCTTGATGTGGTGCTGGCATCAGTACTTGATGTAGTGGTTGGGTCTTGGCTTGATGTGGTGGTGGGGTCCTGGCTTGATGTGGTGGTAGCATCTGTGCTTGATGTGGTGGAGGCATCTGTGCTTGATGTGGTGGAGGCATCTGTGCTTGATGTCGGGGAGCCATTTGTGCTTGATGTGGTGGTGGGGTCTTGGGTCGATGTGGTGGTGGGGTCTAGG